TACGTTTTTCTTTCTTTGCATTTCAATTTTGCCAGAGGGTGCATGTGCTCAGCAGAGAGAGGCAGAAAGGAGGGAGAGTGGAAAGTGAGAAAGCACTCCTCCTGGGGAATGGTCACATCACCATCTCTTCTCCTTTATTTCTCCCTCCTTTGGGATGTTAGGCACACATGCCCAACATGTTTTTGAGGCCACTGAATCAGGGACTCAAACTGTGATATTGGCCATTTTGGCTCTAGCTTCCTTAGCCACTAGGCAATGGGCTTGTCCAACGCTTTGAATTTTTTTATGTTGATTGTTGTATTCGCCAAGTTTATTAAATGTATTCATCACAGCTAAGAGTGTTTTTGTAAATGCTTGTTTTTCTATGTATATAAACATGTCATTTGCAGATAACAACACTTTAGCTTCTTTGGTCATTTAATTGCCTTTTATTTCATTCTTTTGCCTTACAGCTTCAGTTGGAACTTCCAGTACTATATTGAATAGAAGTGCAGAAAGTGGACATCTTTGTCTTTTTCAGATTTTAAGAGGGAAAGCTTTCAACTTTTCTTCACCTAGTATCAATTTATCTATATATCTTCTTTGTGGCCTTTATTATTTTAAGAAGTGTACCTTTTATACTTATTTTCTTGATAGTCTTAAGAGTGAAGATATTATTTTATCAAATATGTTTTCCACTTTGAATTAACTCTACAATCTTTTCTTATGTTAATGTGATATATTATATTTCTCATTTTATGTATGGCGAACCATCCTTGCATTCCTGGGATGAATTCTATTCAATCTGTTTTTAAGCTTGAAAAAAAAAATGCATGCTTTAAATCCTGGCAAGATAAAGAAATGCAGAAGGGATTGCAGCTTTACCACACCCCATTAGGGTATGGTAAGGCCCTGCTCCAATTTATCTGTCTCTCTATGGCAAGCACACATCCTCTGGCAATTAAAAAAATCTAAACTTCAGGTGCCTGCAAGTGACATGATTGTTGGGTGTGCTGAACTCCCATGTGGCCGACTGCAGTTCGAGTCCTGAACCTGGTGATTTACTTTCTCACTTTTGCTCTCTCTCTCTATCTCTCACTCTGTCCCTCTCTGGTCAAATTAAAATAAACAAAAAAATAAATAAAAGTAAATAAAATAATTCTTAAAAAATGTAATGTCCAGAAGGGAACTGATGCATTTATGATCAATTTATTTTTTACAAGGGCCTCAACACTCACAAACAGAATATCCACATGCAGAAGATAAAAATCGAGCCATTATCTAATATCAGTATATAAATACTAGATCAAAATAGGCTAAAGACTTACATATAAGACCTGAAACTACAAAATGTGTAGAAAAAGAACTGGAAATTCTTTATGGCATTGGCCTATTCAGTTTCTTGTATATGAGCCCAAAAGCATGAGGAACAGAAGCCAAAATAGAAATATAGGATGCAGGAAGAGAAAAGACTTCAGAACAACAACAACAACAATAACAACAACAACAACAAATAGAGTGAAGAAAAAAATTCCAAATTGGGAGAAAACAATTTCAAATCATACTTTGGATAAGGGGCTAAATAGCTAAAATATACAAGGAACTCATATTACTCAGTAACAAGAGAACAAATAACTTTATTTTAAAAATGAATAAAGAGGTCAAATAGACATTTCTCACAAGAACATATACAAATGATGAAAAGATAATATTAAACAATTCTCAATGTGTCCACTCATCAGAAAAAAAAATGCACGTTATAACAAAATGAGATATCACCTTATACCTGCTAGGTTAGCTATTATCAAAAAAAAGAATGATAAGTGTTGGTGAGGATACAGAGAAACTAGAGCAATTTACACAGTTGGAGCTATTATAAATTAGAAAATCCATTTTGGGAAATAGTAGGAACTTTCCTCAAAACTAAAAATAGAGGTACTGTATAATTCCACAATCCAACTGTAAGATGTAAACCTAAGGGAATTGAAACAAGCATGTCAAATAAACACTTACAGTCACCTGTCTCTTGCAGTATTATTTAAAACTGTTTATATGTGGGAACAATTAAATGTTCATCAATACATAAAAGGGGACCAGCAGATGCACAATGATTACATCACAGGACTCCTACAAAGTCTACCGGGTTCAAGTCCTGAGCCCGGAGGCTGAAAAACATACGTGGAGTGTGTATATACGTGTGCAGGATCCTGAGAAGAGAATGGAGAAGTGATTGCGGAATGGCCATCCCTCCAGGGGGGAATTTCTTGCTTTCTGTCTCTGCCTTTCTCTTTCTCTCTGGCAAGCACCCATGTCCTAAAACAAAAATCTCTCTAAAAACCAAAAATGAATAAATGAGGGACCAGCATTTAGCATAATAGCTATGTCACTGGACTCCCATGTAGTCGACCGTGGTTCACGTCCCGGACCCGGTGGCTTAAAACTCACGCCGGGCGCGTGTGTGTGCGTGCCCAAGATCTCAAGAGGAGAATGGAGGAGAAAGGATTGCGGTGTGGCCATCCCCTCTAGGGGGTGATTTCTCGCTTTAGGTCTCTCTCTCTCTGTCTGTCTGGCAAACACACATGCCCTATAGCAAAAACCTCTCAAAAAAATGAGTAAATGAATGAAAAACATGATATATTTACACAATGGAATTCTATTAAGCCTTAAAAACATGAAAGTATATTTGTGACGAAACAGGTAAACTAGAACACATTATGTTACCTAAAAGGTTCATGACATAGCCCATGACTTGCATCTCTGAAGTACAGCTGTTAATATGCCCTGCTCACTTTGAGCATGAAAATTCCATTGGTAAATCAACTTGTAAAGCCATACAACCTCTTGACTGGGAAAGTAGAACAAATACAGACAGAAGGCAGCTTCTTGCGGCAGTAGTGGGTTCTCCTACAAAATAAACACGAGTGTCAAAAATGTTTTCTAAATGCCTATGGTGACTTTATTTATTTCATTGACATCATTCAACCTCAAATGGAATAGCTCACAGCACTTTTCATTTCAAAGCATGCCCTACCTTTATGCACATCAGTATCAGAAAATGTGTTGAATCTCTACTATATTTAAATTTTAAATCTAGTTTTACTAACATTCATTATTTCCCTTTTGTGCCACTTGAAACTAGAATTTTGTTACTGTAGCTCCAATACACTAAAAACATAAAGAGCTGAATATCTCAAGGTTTTCTGATACTTTATGAAGAACCTCACACAGAGGAAGGATGACTAGTGTAGGCTGGAAAAGTTGAGGAGGGCATGGAACATAGGGATGTTGGTCAATGAAAAATAAATTAGAACTAAATAAAAGGAAGACTTTCAAGTCTTACAAAATGCAGTTGGGAGCATATAGTTAAGGACAACTTGCTGTGTATCTCAGAATAACTTAAGTAAATTTTAAATGTTGCAAACACAAACTAATGACATATGATGACAGGCCAGCAGGTGTAGTGATTGAGGTGCTGAAGTCCCACATGGTTGGCCATGGTTCAAATCTCAGGCCTGGAGGCTTAAAACATCCAAAATCATGCCCAAAACCCTGAGATAAAATGGAAGACAAGAGATGTGGTGTAGCCATCCCCTCTGAGAGTGATTTCACTCTTTCTGCCTCTCTGTCTTTCTGAAAGCACATGCACTCTATAGCAATGAAAACTAAAAAACAAAAAAAAATGGTTGAGATGATGAGTACACTAATCACACTGATTTATTCATTCAACCTATATTCTAATAAGGAGATATATTGTTGTCCCACAAATTTGCAAATTACTAAATGTATATAAAAAATTACAACTAAATAAAAGGAAGAATTTCAAGTCTTGTAAAATGCAGTTGGGAGCATATAGTTAACTATAACTTGCTGTATATCTCAGAATAACTTAAATTAATTTCAAATGTCGCAAATACAAAGTAATGACAAATGGTGACATGATGACAGACCAGCAGGTGTACTGATTAAGGTGCTGCTGAACTCCCACATGGTTGATCGTGGTTCAAATCTCAAGCCTGGAGACTTAAAGCTCCCAAAATCATGCCCATAATCCTGAGATGAAATGGAAGACAAGTGATGTGGTGTACCTATCCCCTCTGAGGGTGATTTCATACTTTCTGCCTCTCTATCTTTCTGAAAGTACATGCACTCTATAGCGACAAAAACTAAAAACAAACAAACAAAACAAAACAAAAAAACCACAATTGGTTGAAATGATGAGTACACTAATCACACTGATTTAATCATTAAACCTACATTCTAATAAGGAAATATCATATTGTAATCCCACAAATATGTGAATTACTAAATGTAAATAAAAAAGAAAAAATCTCATGAGTTATCTGTAGGTTATTAGAATAGCTGAAAAAATTAGTTTGGAGTATCACTACACAAAAAAGTCTCTCACTCAAAAATATGAACTTTTCAAATACAAACTAGTTATAAAAAGAAATGAGCAGGTCTTATATACCAATTTAGTTTATTTGCCCCAAAAGTGTTGAGGAAGAAGTTCAATTCTTCTTTTGGAGAGATATTATAGGAGGAATTCAATATTACAGAGAACTGGCTGAATTAACTTTATGTATACTTACAAGTTGAACTAATTTCTTTTGTTAATGTCTTTCTTCTTATCAAGCCAGAGTGTAGACAGAGTTGTGAGGTATACGTCATGGTAGGCAATGCCAGAATTGAGCTATCAAGAAGAGAGTTAGACTAAAGCTTTGAGGAAAACTACCAGATTTTGATCAGAAGCAAAAAGAAAAGGTGAGAAAATAGTACGTTAGGTTACAGAGTTTATGTGGAATTGGGCTTATACTTCAAGTATAACGTGGCTAGAAAGGAAGTTAATCTGAATTGAAAAGACTGTTAGTTGTTCCATAATTATTTGATCTGGTCTACACTCTATCTAGGTTTCACACAAAAGACAATGCCTTGACATTCACTGTGCCTGGTAAACTAGAAAAAAAATAACAAAAGAACCTACAAACTTGTATACAGCCATATGTTATTCCCACTACATTCAGACATTGTTATATTTGATATTGGCATTCCCCAAGACAAATCAAGAGTCAAAATTAATCAGACCAGGTCCTCAATTCATCCATTGCTTTTTTAAGTAATCTGGATATGCCACAACTTTCTCAAGGCATTTTTTACTTCGGCATTTCTTAGTGTATAAATGAGTGGATTGAGAAAAGGAGTTCCAATGGTATAAAATACAGTCACCATCTTGTCCATGGGGAACGTGGTTGGGGGACGTGTATATATGAATATGCATGGCCCAAAGAACAAGATCACTACTATGATGTGAGAAGTACAAGTGGAGAGTGCTTTTTTCCTCCCTTCTGCACTGTGGTTTCTCAATGAGTGCAAGATGACAAAGTAGGAAATCATCAAAATTACAAAACTACTTGAACAAATTGCCCCACTGTTAGTCACCAGCAGCAGGTTGATCATGTAAGTGTCCATGCAGGCAAGTTTCAACAATGGCTGCAAATCACAGCAATAATGATCAATCAAATTGGGTCCACAGAAGGGCAACCTTAAGGCCAGAATAATCTGAGCTATACTATGTATGAAAGACCCTATCCAAGCAAGAACAATTAAGATGATGCAGACTTGCTTGCGCATGATGGTTGGATAATGTAAAGGCTTGCAGATGGCCACATAGCGATCAACAGCCATGAGAATGAGGACAAAGATCTCCATGCAGCCAAATAAATGCAGTGCAAAGACTTGTGTCATGCATTCATTGTAGGATATGATTTTCTTTTTAGAGAGAGCATCTGCTATCAATCTAGGTGCCGTCGAAGTTGAAAAACAGGAATCAGCAAAGGACAAATAAAATAGGAAGAAATACATGGGGCTGCCAAGTGTTCGGCTGAACTTGATAGTCACAATAATGAGCATATTTCCCACCACAGTTCCAGCATAGAAAATGAAGAAGATTAAAAATACTATTTTTTGCCTCACAGGATCCTGTGTCAATCCAAATAACACAAACTCAGTTACGCTGTTATTCTGATGCATTTTTAAGCTAATTTTTTGATACCACAGGTTAGAAATATTTCATCTGCAAAGAAGAAAATAAATAAAGGTTATAAAAGGATACTAAACTTGGAGAGAAAATATTTATTCTCAGTCATGAAATTGTGACTTTCCATTTCGTTGTCACCTATTATACTCTGTATTTTTATTTTTTTTGAGAGGTTTTTGCTATAGGGCGCGTGTGCTCGCCAGAAAGACAGAGAGAGACTGAGAGACAGAAAGCGAGAAATCACCCCCCAGGGTGCAATCCCTTCTCCTCCATTTTTCTGTTGGGATCTTGCCGCAATCCCTTCTCCTTCTCAATCCCTTCTCCTCCATTCTTCTGTTGGAATCTTGGGTATGCACACACACGCGCCCAGCGTGAGTTTAAGCCAACGGGTCCGGGACTCGAACTACAGTTGGCTACATGGGAGTCCTGCGACATAGCCATTACACTAACTGCTGGTCCCAATTCTCTGTATTTTTTTTAATGAATAAAATAGAATTTGTGTTAATTATTCAAATCATTTTCCATATTGCACATGAAAATAGTAAAATAAAAATAGAAAAGTAATTGGGACCAGCAATTAGCATAATGGCTATGTCTCTGGACTCCCATGTCCGTGGTTCATGTCCCGGACCTGGTGGCTTACAACTCACACTGGGCACGTGTGTGTGCATGCCCAAGATCCCAAGAGTAGAACGGAGGAGAAGGGACTGTGGCGTGGCCTCCCCTCCTGGGGGGTGATTTCTCGCTTTCTGTCTCTCTGTCTCTGTCTAGTGAGTGCACGTGCCCTATAGTGAAAACCTCTCAAAAATAAATAAATAAATAAATAAAACTGTAGACAAGTCATATAAGACTCCATAATCTCTGATGTGTGTCCTGAATAGGTTATTTAATTAAGCTGTGATTACTTAAAAAAATAGAAATGTAATTAAAAAGCAATTATTACTCAAGGAAGTTAAACAATGTAGGGGTATTGATATGAGTAAATAACCCTCTGTCTTTAATATGTTTCATTAGTTTCCATTAAGGACTACCGATATTATGGCAGATATTTTAAAAAATATGAAAAAAAAAACATACACATGACTTATTCAAAAATACACAAAACATACACATGACTTTCTATCTGAAATAGTTAGCTTTTTTTTTTTTTAATTCTACAGGCAGTGTGCATTCACCGGAGAGAGAAAGACAGACAGAGAGAGGGGGAGAGAGAGAGAGAGAAAGTGAGAAATCACTCCCAGGGGAATAGCCACACTGCAGTTCTTCCTTCTCCACGCTCCTCGTGGGGTTTTGATCATGGATTCACAAACACTTGGCATGAGTTTTAAGCTGTCGGTACTCAAACTGCAGAGTTGTCTATGAGGGGTCCAGCTGCCTTAACCTCTACACCATCTGCTGACTTGGGTATTCTTAGCATACTAAATCTACTTAGTAAATATTTGTACTCTACTAGTAACTGTTTATTTAAAAGGGGACTCAACAACATCTTACAGTTCCTTCTTTAACAAAATCTAAGCAAAACACATACACGCATAGTAAAGAAAAGAGAGAGAATACTAAACATAAAACTTGGGCAAGAAACAGCATTTTAGTCAGTCTGTCCAGCATGCATTTTTTTTAATCCCTTACCTTGACTGGACTTATTTACTGCTAATTTACCTCTCAAAATTTCTAGTTCTTTCTGTTCTTAGTTAAGACTCTTTGATTAAACTTTGTACTTTTTCATTATACTATGTTGCTCAAAGCTACAGTTTCCTCCCTTTCATTATTTTTCTGAGTTCTATGTTTTCATAAGACACAAAGAGACCCTGAGACTAAAATAAAAAAAGATAGGAGGAAAATTGACATAAATTTCTTCAAATTTCAGGTTGACATTTAAGCACCAGGAATTTAGGAAATTAGCTACATATTCTCAAAGTCATAACTTACTGTTCCAATGGAATTATTATTATGAATACTCTTGACTATTTTATACTTTGATTTTAACCATGACAGGATAAATATAAAAATAGAATATTTATTTGCATATCTCAAATAATAATCTATCAAAAAGCGAAAGATAATTGTCAAAATGTTAGAATGCATTTAAAACACCTATACCAGACAAAAACATATTTCTGAAATATTAATGGATATCAAAATCTGTCTTAAAAAGTATAACACAAAAAACATGGAGCAAAGAAGCAATTTTAACAGACACTTCTTATTAAAAAGATGAAGTATGTGGATGCTCAGTTCCATTCACAGTTACATTCACATTAAAATACTAATTGAATATTTTTTCACCCATAAAATTAATAGAATAATACTTTTGATAATTTTTCATTTAGATTTTTGCAATAAGGGTTGTGCCAAAAGGAAACAAAAGAAAAGAAAGTGAAAAATCACCCCCCAGGGAGAATGGTCATACTGCAATCTCTTCTCCTTTATATTCCCCTCAGGATTTGGGACATGCACACATACAAAGCTGACATGTTTTTCAAGCCTCCAGGTTTGAGACTCCAACCACAGTGCCAGCCATAAGGGATCCAGTGTTTTAATCCCCACTCTTCCAATTGTCTTTTCATAAATAGTTATCACAAAGGTGTAAGAAAACCTATACATTTTTGGTGGGAATGTAAATTGAGGCAATATCTAATGGGGTGATTTTAACACCTGGGACATGACTTCTGCATGTAGAAATTAATCCATTTTTTCCTATAGTTACTCCCATTCACAAACACAAAGAATCATTACAGTCCTTTCTGTGGTAACAAAAGATAAGAAATAACGACAATGTACAACAGAAGGAGTATTAATAAATCAAGGATGATACTTTAATGCAAACACTGATTTAAAATCTATGAGGGACTACAGACATTTGTGGTTTATTTGGTGTGAAACATTGAAATTTATGTAGTTTTTCATAATATGCATTTTCATAAACTTTTTGATCAATTTTACGTGTAATAGTCACTAAAATACAGAGCAAACTAAAATTTGGGAGGTGAATACTGTATGCTAAGGATGACAACATTTTCATTAACAGCAGGATAACACATATTATACAAACAATCACACTTATATAAAGTGCCTTTAAAAAGATATTTTTAAATTGCATAATATTTGTAATCTCTGTATAAGAAAACTTATTCAGATGTTAGAAATAGAAGGAAAAGCTAGCAATATCAATATTACTTTTTAAAATATTTCATAATCATGCTTTATTTTAATAATTCAGTTAAAATCCTTACCTATGGATTCATCTGTTATTCATATTGACATATCACTGAGCCATCACAACTGTCTTCTGTTGTAGCAAAGGTATAGTGGTATTTCCAAGACAACACTGAAATTCAAAAGCTTGAATAAGATAGTAAGTCAACATATGGAGGTAGGTAAGTACTTTTTATTACCCACCAACATGCTGTCATTAACTACAGACTCACTTGTTTTACTGAAAGTTTTCCAAATACACTCTTTTAAAATCTCTTTAGAAAAAACTGAAAAACTATATTTGGCTTCTATACATTAAATGTGATTAAAAATACCTATATCAGTATCTACATCAATTCCTCAATTTATATAGCTATTTATATCTTTTTTTAACCCTAAACCTAACCATAATCTTAAGCTATTTATATCTTTAATGATACATAGACATCCTAAAACATATCTATAGTGCACATAATTTTATGTATGTATTTATATGCAAATAGATGCATAGATAGATCTTAGAATTACAAGCATAGCATACATTATGATAAAAACAAGATGGGGATTTTATCCAGTGACTGCCGAATTTTAGCACCTAGAAAAAGTAGGTGACTAATAAAGATTTTTTGAATGAATCTTCAATGCTCTTAATTTCTTACATATAAAATATTAAACAAATTATTGTATGTACTTTAACACATTTATATTTCAACTTTTGAAATGAATCTTCAATTATCTTACTTTGTTATGTATATTCTCAAGTATCTTACATCCTGGCTTAAGATAAGATACACATAGACATGGAATTTGAAGAATTAGAATAGTTGCTGATAAATGCAAATCAATTTTCCATACTGTATTACATTTACTCTCCATCAAGGAGAAGAGAAGCCTGTGTCCTTCTGTATCCATGGCAACATCATCACTTCTATGAAGCATTTCCTGCCAAATATGTATTATTCTATTTAACTAACTTTTACACTCTTCTCTACCAACAGCCCTTACCAAGAAGGGCCAATTTTCTTTAGCACTGTTGCGCATGTCTTTTATTTCCATCTTCTCTCTTTAGATGGCAAAGCACTCTTAGAAATTCTATATATTTTCTACTCTTTCACAAATGCTTTATATGTATTCCTGATGATGGCACTGATATATTTATTTTCTCTGAATATTAAATACAACTAAGATATTCCCCAAAACAAATTTTACCAGCTTTGGTGAGAAGTTATGCACTGCTAAGATGTTCTGCTGCCCTCTTTTCTTTCCAACATTTAATAAGAATTTAAAAATTGCTTCCAAATTCAGTTATTCTTATACCAGTTATTCTGGTACCAGGATCTCTCTGCTCTCACAAAGACAAGAGACATTCTCATCTTGATGCTAGAATACAAACTATATTGGTTCCAGATGCACCAAACTCTTTTTGAAATTCAGCCTCACACTAGATTTTGACCAGGAAAAAATGATCTTTGCATTCCCTGGAGGAACATTTAACATGAATGATGCAAAATATAGGAGTCTGGGGAAAGTCAGTCCCTAAAGTGTCCCTTCCTTCTAATTACGTAACATGACCCAGATGTGGTAAGTAATTTAATCTTTAATTTGTCTTCAATTATGATCTTTTCAGGTAGTTGAACATGTTAATTTGGGTGATAAATTATTCTTTCCTTGAGAGGTTTTTGCTATAGGGCACATGTGCTTGCCACAAAGACAGAGAGACAGAAAGCGAGAAATCACCCCCTACCCCCATCTGGGATGGCCATGCCGCAATCCCATCTCCTCCATTCTCCTCTTGAGATCTTGAGCACAACTGCACATGTGCCTGGCATGAGTTTAAGCCACCAGGTCCTGGACTCAAACCGCAGTCAACTACATGAGAGTCTAGTGACATAGCCATTAGGACAACTGCTGGTCTCTGATAAATGATTATTTTAACGAAAACTAAAAATGATCATGACATACTCAAGTCTTTGTTTCTTATATCATTCACCAGTGAAATATCTTGCTGAAACATCTGACTCTAAGCTGAGGCTGAGAATGTACAATATCAATGGGAGCATCCCTTAGTGGTGGAGAGTAAAGGCCGACAAAACACACATGCTAACATAGTCGTGATGACATAAGGGAGAATTCAAAATTTTCATGAGAAAATGACATCAAAAGCTAAAAAAAAGTATAAATTTTGTTTTTCAACATAAGCTCTATAATTTCAAGAGAGTTTTATAAGCAACGACATCAACCAATTACTCCACTCCTACAGAACTAAGGGTGTTAAAAATGTATTGTGTCAAGACAGTCTTTTACATTGTAAATGAAGAAGAATGGATATCCTTTTAAGATGTTTTAAGATTAGGAGTCAAATGATTAGTAGATGACACGGTGGTTAAGACTCTGGACACCTCCACGATTGACCTTGATTCAAGTCCAGACCTGGTGGCTCAGAAAAAAAAAAAGATTCAAAAATTAAAAAAAAAGAAGCTGAAAGGAGTGAAATCAAGTCTAGCTTCTTGATTTAAGGTAGATGTTATATGATTTTCCATCAATGTACTCACAAAATTGTTTTTGTTGGATGAGAGAAATGAATAGGAACGTTAAGTAATAAAGAAGGACCCTGGCGAAGCTTTCCTGGGTGCTATAGTTTTCACTTACTTACTCAAGACTTCAGCCTAATAAGCGGCTGTTACCATTCTTTCACTCACTGAATAGTCAACAAGCAAAATGCCTTCAGCAGCTTAAAAAGCTGAAGCCATGACCTCTGCTCTTGGCTCATGTGCTAACACTTTGACTGGACCACTTGGTTGCCATTGTTTTGATTGTAATTTGTATTCAAGAGCATACTGGTAAAACTGTGTGTCAGATCCTGGTATACTTATTTGAAGAAATGCTTCAGGATCTAAATTATTCTTGTTTATAATTTCCATTGAAAGTTAAACACTTTTTTTTTCCTATTTGCCATAGTGTACATGTACTGGCTTAAGGAAGACAGAAACAGAGAGAAAGTGACAAATAATCACCCACTAGGGGAGATGATCATGCCACAATCCTTTATCCTCCATGCTCCTCTGATATTTTGGACATGCACGCACATGCACCCACTGTGTTTCAAGTATTGGGTCCTAAAATCAAACCATTGTTGGTTATGTGGGCATCCAGCACCTTTACCAGCATGCCCCTTGCTGGCTCCATCAACTCCATTTTTAATCTATGGTGGTATACTGCCATAACTTATTCCACTTTTGCACATATACTCTTGTGTCTTTTTCAAGTCGCTCTGATTTTGATTTGCATTTCTCTAATAATTATTGTTTTAGAGCATCTTATATACCTGTTGATAATTATATGTCTTATTTTGAGAAATGTCTGTTCATTACTTTTACTGATTTTAAAATCAGATTTTGTTTTTTATTATTGAGTTGATTTAGTCTCATATTTTCTAGATATTAACCCTTTTTCCCATGAATAGTTCGCAATATTTTATCCTACTCCTCAGGTTGCCTCTTTGTTCTGTTGATTGTTTCCTCTGATGTAGACAAAATTTTTAGTTGGATATAATCTGATTTCTCTAAATTTGATGTGTTGACTGTGCTATTGAAGTCTTATCTAAAATTCCTTTCACAGACCAATGCTATATCATGGGGCATAGTTCCTATTTTTTTTTCTAGTAGTTTCACTGTTTTGGAGTCTCCATTTATGAAGTGAATCCATTTTTTTGGGGGGGCGGGGGAGTTCTTTGCTCCAGGGTACATACACTCGCCAGAAAGACAGAGAGAAATAGTCAGAAAGCAAGAAATCACCCCACACAGGGGATGGCCACGCTGCAATCCCTTCTCCATTCTCCTCTTGG